GTGCGGGGTCAAATGCTCAAAACCATGCCTCACTTTGCCCTCTTTCCTTTTCCTTCTTTATGCCCTCAGGATCAAGCATTCGCTGTGGACGGTGGCTTCTACGCGTGCGTGTACGAGCGCCAGCAGCCCGTGTGGCAGCAGACCGCCTTCTCCCAGAGCTCCTCCTCGGCTAGCTCTCCACTCCTCTATCCCTTCGTCCACCCCACACCCACTCACCCCCCTTCCCCACGCGCGCAGGATCAAGCATTCACTGTGGACGATGTGTTTTACGCGTGGATGTACGAGCACCAGCAGCCCGTGTGGCAGCAGCCCACCCTCTGCCTGCCCTCCTCTCTTTCCAGCTCACTTTCCCCCTCGCCTCTTCTGTTCCCCCACCTCTCAACACCAGGATCAAGCATTCACGGTGGACGATGGCTTCTACGCCGTGGATGTACGAGCGCCAGCAGCCACGTGTGGGCAGCAGAGCCCACCCTCTGCCTGTCACTCCAAAGTTTCCAGCTCACTTTTCCCCTCGCCTCTTCCTGTTCCCACACCCCTCAACCCACCAGGATCAAGCATTCACGGTAGGTGATGGGCTTCTACGCGTGGATGTACGAGTGCCAGCAGCCCATATGGCAGACTATCCTCTCCCCTACTCAGCTTGCCGTCTGTTCCCCTCTCTTCCTCGCTGTTCCCCGCCCTCAGGATCAAGCATTCACTGTGGACGATGGCTTCTACGCGTGGGATGTATGAGCGCCAGCAGCCCGTGTGGCAGACCATCCTCTCGTTCATGCTGCCGGTCTTCACAGTGGCGTGCTGCCTCTTCCCCGTCTTCCCCCACTGGTGCAAGCTCACTGTGCTCTACTTTCTCCTCGGCTTGATCGCCCTGATCTTCCTCCTCCTCTTTGGTAAGTGAAACGCTTAGAGTGGGGTAAGTTCTGATGCGTGTCCAAGTCTTCACTGTCGCCTGCTGCCTCTTCCCCGTCTTCCGCCACTGGTGCAAGCTCGCTGTGCTCTACTTTCTCCTAGGGCTCATCGGCCTCGTCTTCCTCTTCCTCCTGCTCTTCGGTGAGTGAACCACTTCAAATGCGGTGAGCCACCTACTCTTAGGTAAGCAACACGCTGAAAAAATGTCTCAGATAAAAGCAATGTAAAACCTCATCAGAGCTGTTGCTCTGTGTGAGTTTCTTCGAGCACGTGTGGCCCGTGGTTCCTCCTCCCGTGCATTCTGGCCGAGCAGGGACCTCTGGCGGAGCACTTCCACTTCTGGCATATTCTGGCTCTGTGCAGCATGCTCATGCCGTCCCCATCGTCCCACCACTAAACGTGGTCCTGCTCCTCATTGCAGTGCGTGTGGCCATATTCGCAGTCATCTGGCTGGCTCTGGGCAAGCGCGTGTGGTTCTTCCCCAGCATTCTGGGAGAGGAGGGATATCAGGCAGAGCTATCTCAAGCTCGTCAGCACAGCTGCTCAACACGTGCTCATTCGCTCCTCACCCACCCTGCTCTGTCTCCTCCTGTGCAGTGCGGGTGGCCATATTTGGAGTCATCTGGCTGGCTCTGGGCAAGCGCGTGTGGTTCTTCCCCAGCATCCTCGCGGAGGAGGGCTCGCTGGCGGAGCTCTTCCGCTTCTGGCCAGATAAGGACGACAAGCGCCGCCGCTAAGATCACGACCCGGCTGGCTGTGGCTGTGATGCTGGCATTCACGTTCTGGCTCATGGTGACCTACGCCCCCGACCAAGAGCAGCGCGCAAAGTGAGTCTTTCTATTCTAGTTCTTTCTTTCTTTCTTTCTTTTCCTTGTGCTGTTTGGTGCATCGTTGTGATGCTGGCGTTCACTTTCTGGCTCATGATGACCTACGCCCCCGACCAGGAGCAGCGTGCAAAGTAAGTCACTTTATTTCATTTTATATCATTTTTTTCGCGTTTCTCCATGCACTGTTTGTAGCCCTCTGTGATGCTGGGGTTCACGCTTTGACTCATGGCGACCTAAGATGCCCCCGACCAAGAGCAGCGTGCAAGGCGGGTGAACATTTAGTGTTCGCCACGTTTTGGGTACACATTTTAGGACTCCTTTTTGTGCTGCATCGGACGTCCTTTGCTCCTGTTTCTGGCATTGATTTACAGCTTTTTTTCATCCGCTCCCTCCACCCGGCTTTTGTGGACCTTCCCTGTGGCAGGTACCAGAAGAAAGTGTCCAACATTATTGACGACGTTTTACAATGGAAACCGCAGATGCTTACAGGGAAGACAACGCCGGCTGCCCCTGCTAATGCTACATCAGCCAATCAGACGTCCGCAAATGCCACTGCTGACAACTCCACAAGCTCCGACGCTACTGCAGAAACGGTGGAGGCTAAGGCATCTAGCAGCGGTGGTAGCGATGCCTCTGGTGGCAGCAGCACTAACACAGAGAGCAAGGATGTATTCGAGGAGCAGTTGTCGGGAGGTACCCAAAAGAAGACGGGAATGGAAGCAGGTGCTTGACTAGAGTATGGTAATGATTCCCTAGAAATCAGCAGGTGTCTGCATTAGTTATTGGAGTTATTGTTATTGTGCAGATCAGATGTATGCTGTATTGTAAGGTTTCAATTCATAAGTCAGGTTGTTCACATACTAGAGCATTCGTACTCGCTGGTGAGGTTTTCACAGAGTAGGGGAGCGAAACTATCACAAGCATGAAACTGCCGCTGGTTACGTCGCTTATGTTTTCGTACCCGTGTCGCAACCTTCCCTTCACTTCGCCTTCATCTTTCGCAACTTCTTTTCATGTTTCCAAACCAGGCAGGCAGGCAGCCAGCCACAGACCACCACCACCTCCACCATCATCTCTTGCTCCACCTCCGCACTCCGCGTCTTCGCCGCTTCCCGTACGGTAACCTCCCCGCCACGCGCTTTCTGGTGTCTCAGAAACAATGTGAGTCGGCTTCTTCTTCCTCCTCGTCGAGCGCAGCTAATATTCGCGAAGGATTTTTTCCTCGGATCTTGCCTGACGGCGATTGTCTGTTCGCCGTGTAGGGCTGACGACGAGCCTGTGGATCCGAAGCTCGAGATTGAGGAGGGCTGCCGGCCGAAGTGCGTAAAGCAGCTGCTCGCGTATGAGGTGAGACCTCCCTTTCCCCTCGTTTCCAGCGCATCTTTAGTCTGTCTCCCTTTCCCTTCTTTCGCCATCCAGTTGAGCTAAGAACGAAGGCTTTGAGCTGCCTCGCGATTTCACTTTCGCCGTTTAGCCTTGTTGATCCGTCAGAAGTCTCCTCTTAAAGGCTCCGATGTGACTCTGAGCATCGATCTGCGTTGTGCAGGCTTGTGTGAAGAGGATCGAGGGCGACGAGACTGGGGAGAAGCATTGCACTGGCCAGTACTTCGACTACTGGGCGTGCATCGATAAATGCGTAAGTTCCTCGCTTCATTGCAACATCAACTATCTGGAATTATGACTTGAATAACATGTGTGCGTCTGGTACTAACCTGTGTCTGACTTCCTTCCCTCCTTTCCATGCACTCCCTCATAACCTATGCAGGCGGCTCCTAAAATCTTCGCCCAGCTAAAATGATGGCTTACCGTACATTCACTCACCTACCGTATGGTAAAGCTGGCTGATGTGATGTGCACCCGCTGTTGCTGAAGGCATTTTCTGGCCATGAAATGCACTGTACCACTACTTGACATTCTTTCAAATATATGCAGTGCAGTGGTGGCTCAGGTAGCGCTTGAGGCATTGGCATTTCCCTTTCTCTGGTCGAAGTACTGGTAACTGGAAGGATCTGCACAAATATCGTTTGTCCAATCAAAATCAGAGGGGGGAGAGAGAGAACCTGAAGGAAAGTCCACCTGATGGAAAGTACATCAAAGGCCGCTGCAGTGTGTATGACTTAGGAATGCAGTTTTGGTTCTTATTGGGCTTTATTTGGTCAAACCACCCACCTAGCTTTCTAAGACGATACACCTTTACTTCTGTTTAGTCCCACGGTTTTTTGCACGCGGCTCGAGCCTGTAAGCAGGAAATGGTAAAACACGGGCAAACGGGACCTTGAACGGGAAATCCCACAGTAAGCACTGACAATTGGTTACAAAATCTCGCTCATGCACTAGATTAGTTGCCTGCGCGATGTCCCAGCTCTGAGACTCGCAATTGTCGAAATTCGACTTAGTTGTTCGCCATCGTTCAGACTGCAGCCAATCAGGTTCAGTGTCAACACGTGTCATGCTGGGAACCTGGTAGGTGGGATTGCATTTTAGACTGTTCCGGGTGGAACCATAGAGAGAAATAAGTGTATTTGTAATCGTCGCCAAATTCCATATACAGCCGATCTCTACTAAGCATTCTGTGCAGAACTTCACCCCTCCACCCCTTCCCACCGAAACATTCCGTGCAGATTCAAGTTTACACCCCAGCAACAGAATCATTTTGTGGGTTGTCGAGCAGTCCTAGCGGTCGCTGATGTACTCCTGCAAGAACTTAGTTTCACGCTCACGTATATTCGCGTGTAGTTGGCGTCCACGCCTAGTTGTGAACCCTGAGTCTAGTCAGTGCACCACGCTCCGGCTCCTGCTGCTTCTGCTCTCTTGAATGATCTTACCTACAGCAGTATTCGGTGCGAATAGGCTATATTCAGTGCGAGACGGTGCTAATTGGTGCGAATCGGTGCAGATCAGTTCAGAATGTCGAAGCGTGAGATGCACCAGAAGCTGTTCGAGGAGTTTGACTACAAGGAAAAGGCCGGAACCGCGTGGAGCCACAACTACCTGAACCAGAAGCCATGGCACCCGCTCTCGTACCCCAACCAGCGGCGCAAGTGGATTGCGGAGCAGATGCACGGCATACAGGACAAGCGACTGACGGAAATAGAGAAAGAGGTACGCGTTATGAGATGCCTCAGTACTAGTTGCAAGTGGATCGCGGAGCAGATGCACGGTATACAGGACAAGCGACTGACGGAAATAGAGAAAGAGGTACGCGTTATGAGATGCCTCAGTATTTTGCAAGTGGATCGCGGAGCAGATGCACGGCATACATGACAAGCGACTTACGGAAATAGAGAACGAGGTATGCGTTATGAGATTTCTCGATACTCGGTGGGTTGCAAGTGCACCGCGGAGCAGATGCGCGGCGTGCAGGACACGCGACTAAGCGAGGTGGAGACAGCGATGAGACGCCTCGATATTCGGTCGAATTCGAGCAGAAGGCACACACAATGCTCTCGTTTTTTTGTATGACTCACAGTTTGTTCATTAAGCCATGCTCGTCTTACTCCTCCTCCGTCGTTGCTTGTCTCCCCGCAGTAGTTCCAGAAGGAGCAGGAGTATTTCAAGCAGACCGCGCTGCTGTCCAAGAAGCAGAAGGCCAAGGCAGAGGCGATGCAGTCCGTGTCGTTCCTCTACATGAAGCCGCCCGGGTACAACGCGGAGAGCGCAGGAGAGGGGAGGGGGCTGCCTCACGCACTCATGCTCCCTTTCCCTTGCCCCCTTTCCCTTGTTTCCGCTTTCCTTGCCTCCTCCCCCCTGTCTGTCTCCCCGCTGCAGTTTCAAAAGGAGCAGGAGTACTTCAAACAAACCGCTCTGCTCTCTAAGAAACAAAAAGCGAAAGCGGAGGCGATGCAGTCGGTGTCGTTCCTCTACATGAAGCCGCCCGGGTACAACGCGGAGAGCGCACGGGCGGCAGAGCTGGCGGAGGAGGAGCGGGTGAAGCAGGAGAGGGAGAAGCAGATGATGCTGGAGGGGCAGGGGGATGATGGAGGGGGGGAAGGCGGAGGGGGAAGTGCGGGAGGAGGAGGGGAAGGTGGAAACGGAGAGGGGGAAGGAGGGGAGGGTGGCGGGATGGCGAGAGATGGGGCGTTGGTGCTGGCGGATGCAGGGTGAGTCCCTGCTCTTGCATTCCCTCTCTTCCTCGCGTGGAATTGATTTCTGAGCATGGACTTCCCAATGACAACTCCCATGCCGAACCTACAGCTGTTGACCGGGTTACCTGTTGCGTGCTTTCAACCCCTCCTTCTCGCGGCTCATTTTGTTTGAGACGTCTCAAAACGAATCTTAGACGTCTCATTTCGTTTGAGACGTCTCAAAACGAATTTTAACGTCTCATTTCGTTTTAAGACGTCTCAAAACTCTCATGTTGAATCTACAGCTGTTGACCAGTCTACCTGTTGCGCGCTTCCATCCCCTCCTCCTCATGGTTCACCCCCTTGGTAGCGGCAGTGACATTACCAGTCCCACGGAAGAAGCCGAGTGCCACGGATGTCCTACCCCCATTCCATGTAACCCCTTCCTCCTATCCGCGCCGTTGATGGCAGTTGAGACTGCCAGTCCCGACAAGGACAAGGAGGAGAAGAAGAAGAAGCTGAGAGCCATGGATGTCTTACTCCCTTCCACTGAAACCCCCCCCCCCCCCGGCCTCCCCCACCTCCCCCGCCTTCATCTGGTGGCAGTGAGACGGCAGGTGGCGACAAGGACAAGGAGAAGAAGAAGAAGAAGCCGCGAGCAACGGATGTGTTTGGCCGCGCCGTGCCCACTGGCGACGACTTTGAAGTGCTCAAGAACGCTCCCAGGTGAGGGGGGAGAGGAGAGGAGGGGGGGAGAGTGGGGAGAGGAGAGGGGGAGAGGAGAGGGGGATAGGAGAGGGGGGAGAGGAGAGGGGGAGAGGAGGAGATTGAGAGAAAGAGAGGGGAAAGGGAGTATGGTTTCGTTGGGAGGGGCAAGTGATGCGTTTGGCCGAGCCGAACCGTGCCCACTGGCGTCGACGTCGAAGTGCTCAAGAGTGCCCCCAGGTGAGGGAGGAGAGGAGAGGGAGGGGGGAGAGGAGAGGAGAGGAGAGGAGAGGAGAGGAGAGGAGAGGAGAGGAGAGGAGAGGAGAGGAGAGGAGAGGGAGGGGGAGAGGAGAGGAGAGGAGAGGAGAGGGAGGGGGGAGAGGAGAGGAGAGGAGAGGGGAGGAGAGGGAGGGGGGAGAGGAGAGGAGAGGAGAGGAGAGGAGAGGAGAGGGAGGGGGGAGAGGAGAGGAGAGGAGAGGAGAGGAGAGGGGCAGAAGAGGAGAAGAAGAGGATGAGGTTAACAGGAGTCTTAGTTTGTTGTGAGCTTGGTGATGAGTTTGGTGGAGCCGAGCCAAGCTGTGCGCACTGGTGATGACTTCGAAGTGCTCACGAATGCCCCCAGGTGAGGGGGGAGAAGAGAGGGGGAGGAGAGGAGGACGAGAAAGAGGTGAAGCCACCTCAGCTTTTGTTTTACCCCCCTAAGCTCGCGCGTGTCACTCCCACCACTCTGCATCCCACCCACCCCTCTCTCGTTGCATCTCCGACTCTCCGCCTCATGTTATAGGGTTTAATACAAGCCATACTTGGATTTAGAGTCGACTAAAAAGTCCCCTCTCGTTGGTCACGGCCATCATTGGCAGGCCTCGCCCCTTAGGCTAGAAGCTGAGTTCCTTTCTCTGAACCCTCCACCTTGTCTCTCCCCCTCCTCCCTCCCCCTGCCCCCCACTTGCCCCTCCCCCTCCCCCTGCCCCCCTCCTGCCCCTCTTTCCTCCGGGCCCCCCACCTGCCCCTGCCGCTCCCCCTGCCCCCTCCCAATCCCCATACAAAAACCAGGATGGACACGGGGATCATTGGCAGGCCGCGCCCCTTTGGTCTAGAGCTCCGAAACGTCAAGTGCGGGCGGTGTGGGGCGATAGGGCACAGCAGCGGGGAGCGGGAGTGCCCTCTCTTCAACTCGGTCACTGAGAATGACCTCAAGCGCCAACAGAGGGAGGACCCTCTCTCGCACATCTTGGCGCTCAACCGCCCGCAGGTATGCTTTCCTGTCCGTCCTCCCTCCCTTCTTCCCTGACGCCCCTCCCTGTCTCGCTCCTCCACTCCCGCTCCTTAGGCCCGTTCAGGAGGCTCTTATTCGACATCAAAACTTGCCTCAGATCCAAGCGAACGGAGCAAGAGGAACAAATCTACCCCCCCCCCCCCCCCCCCCCCCTCCCCCTCCATCCTTTCCCCATTCTTTGACTTCCCCCAACACACTCTCCTCAGACCTTTGGGTGGGAGCTGAAGGAGCAATGGGAAGAAAAGCTGACCCCCCTCCCTTTTTCCCGTGTTATTGCCCCTCCACCTTTTCACTTCAGCCGTTTGGATGGGAGCTGAAGGAGCAAGGAGCAGGAGGGATGAGCCCCGCCCGGGGCGGCTTCAAGCCAAACGACGCCAACCAGCAGATCCTGCCGCCCAGCGATGACGAGAACGAGGGCGTGTTCGACCAGTACGGGGGCTTCCTTCTTGGCGGGGAGGAGGGGGTAGCAGTAGGGGCAGCAGGTTTTGCTGCTGTTGGAGGAGTGGGCGGAGTGGGAGGGATAGGAGGGGTAGGAGGAGTAGGGGGGCTCCTGCCTGGTATTCCTTCCTCTGTTCTGGATTCTCTTACGAAGCAGCAGCGGAAGGACTTGAGCCGTGCTTTGAGGAAGAAGGAGGAGGAAGAGCGGAAGAAGAGGAGGAAGAAGAAGAAGAAGACGAGAGCAGGGGGGGAGAGTAAGAAGGGGAGGGAGAAGGGTAGCAAGAAGGACAAGAAGGGCCACAGGCGGCGCCATCACCACCACAAGGACTCGGATTCGTCCTCGGATTCTGGATCAGATTCTTCAGAATCTGAATCAGATGCCGATTCGAGCTCAGAGGGTGGGGGAAGTTCCAGCTCTGGTGACAGTAGTGGGAGTGTCAGCAGCAGCAGTGACAGCAGCGGCAGTGACAGTAGGAAGAGAAAGCGTCGAAGCAGGTCGAAGGGTAAGCGGTCACATGAGAGGAAGGGGAGGGAGAAGCAGAGGATAAGAAGGGGAGAAAGTGCAGAGAAAGGTACAGGCCGCTCAGAGGAGAAAGGGGGGAGGGCTAGCAGCAGGAGGGTAGAGAGCAAGGAGCAAGCTTCTGAGACTGCTGGTGAGCGTGCCACTGAGGAAGGAGAGAAGGGTGGGGTTGAGAGACGAGACCGACAAGGCTCGGAGGATTTGAAGGGGAGAAGATTGGGAGGGGAGGACAGGGATAGGAGAGATGGGGGGAACAGGAGAGAAGAGAGAGGGCAGGATAGAGAGAAAGGAGAAGAGGATGGTTTGAGAGCGGGGAGTGCTAGAAATGAAGAGAGGGGAGTGGGAGTGAAGCGGGATCGTCATGGAGACAGACGAGATGAGAGGGGTGGGAGAGAGGTGGGGAGAGAGATGGGAGGGGTGGGAGAGAGGCGAGGGAGGAGAGAGAGCAGAGGGGGGAGAGAGAGCACAGGGGTGGGAGAGAGGAGAGGGGGGAGAGAGATGGGAGGGGTGGGAGAGTGGAGAGGGGGGAGAGAGATGGGAGGGGTGGGAGAGAGGAGAGGGGGGAGAGAGATGGGAGGGGTGGGAGAGTGGAGAGGGGGGAGAGAGATGGGAGGGGTGGGAGAGTGGAGAGGGGGGAGAGAGGTGGGAGAGAGGAGAGTGGGGAGAGAGGTGAGATAGGCAGGAGAGATGAGAGGGAGGAGAGAGATAGGAGGGGAGAGGGTGGCAGGAAGGAAGGCAGAGAACGGAGGGGCAGGGAGGAGGAGCGTGAAAGGAGAAGTGATCAAGGAGACGCAAGGGAGGGGCGAGACAGAAGATAGTAGGTGGCAAAAGTCGTGTATGCAGCACAGGAAGGCACCGTCAATGCACAACTCGCCCGACTCCAGCTACAACCTGAAGAATCTGCCATTTGGCTGACCCTCAAGCTTGGAAGCTCAGTTTCCCACTTCCACTGCGTAGGTAGATATGATGTGTATGTATGTAGTACATTTATTACACGCGTATGTATGGGTTCTGCTGTACTTGACCACATGAACATGGTGTCAGAAACTCAGCCACTAACCATATTTAAAGGGCTTGTTAAAACCCCACAGCAAAATAGCAGAGGGGTTATCAAGTTGGGACCCCTCTTGAACAGGGCCCCTTATGTGTCGAGGAGTTTTTTTTCTATTCGGAGCTGGGCAGCAACCCGCACAATTCGATACTCAGAACATGTCCAGTTTGTTCAAGTAAGAACTGAATAATGGAACTAGAAGAAGAAACCTAGAAAAAATACTAGTTGGTTGTACTCACTAGAAGCATACCCCAGTCTACCCTATAACTTCTACATAGCTAATATGTATAAGTTGACACACCCCCTAGGCTAGACAAGGGGTGAAGCTACGCAAGAAGCAAACAGCTCAGGGTGGCACTACTAGTCCAACCACTGAAGCAGGGGTCTGGAGACCAGTCAGCAAGAATACAAACAAAACTAAAGCAAGCCAGGGTGGCACTACTAGACCAACCACTAGAGGTAAGGCCACAAGGCCAGTCTGACAGGTATATATAATAGAGAGTACACAATCAAAATCCTAACAGCTGAGTAGCTACAGGAACAAGACCAAGCTGTACACAGTGCCGCTGATGATCTTTAGGCGCAAGCACTTTAGTAAACATATCAGCTCTGTTGGCACCTGAGGCCAAGTGAACTACGCGGGCCTGGCGGCGCTGCTGTAACTCGCGCAGGAGGAAGTACCGCAGCTGGATATGCTTCGCTCTGCCCTCAAGCCGAGGCTCCTGACACAGGAGTATCATGGCCCTGTTGTCAGCGTACAGGACCGGGGCAGAGATAGGCCGCTCACCGAAGTCAGTGAGCAAGAAGGTCAGCCAGCGGAGCTCCTGTGCCGCCATGGCACCGGCGTAGACTGAGCCACACACAACGAGCGAGTGGATCTCCAAGAGATAGCACCCGAACCAAGGCTAAAACAGTAGCCTTGCGACGACCTGAGCGTCTCAGAGTCGTCTGCCCAAGAAGCGTCTGTGTGCCCAGTAAGGACCACTGGCCTGCGTCCTCCTAGCACTAACCCCATGCCCGATGTACTTGCAAGATAACGCAAAACCCTCTTAGCGACTGACCAGTGCTGAGGTCGGTGTCTGCCTATAGCCACAAAGCGAGCCAGGATGCTGAGAGGGTATGCGAGATCTGGGCGAGTGCAAGTCATCAGTACATGAGGCAACCCACCAGCTCTGCGTAGGGGCCACTGGGCTCTACTGGCTCCTCAGGAACGGGAGCGGAGAGCCCATGGTCTACAGGTAGAGGTGTGGGCTGTGCAGAGGAGAACTGAAGACCGAACCTCTGAAGGACCTGACGCACCAAGTGTGACTGTGTCACAGTGATGGTGCGTGCTGCTCGGTCCGTAGAGATCTGCAGGCCAAGATAGCGACGCAGCTCTCCAAGGTCATTGCAGGTGTGTCTCTTCAGCAACTCGGCCTTCACAGAGGCCAGTGCGTCCCATTCAGCAGTAGCGAAGACCAGGTCGTCTGCATAGACAAGGATGTAGAACGGAGTCTGGCTGGAACGCACAAACAGTGAGGGGTCAGCAGAGGACGGAAAGAACTGCTGGTCTGCTAACGTGGCACGCAGCGTGTCGTGCCACTCGCGGGGAGCCTGACGCAGGCCGTAGACCGGGTGCCTGAGAAGCCATTGGGTCCCAGGGGGGAAGGTACCAGTGAAGCCCTGTGGTCGACGCAGGTAGACCTGCTCGTGTAGGCTGCCTTGAAGAAAGGCAGTAGAGAAGTCGAGGGAGTGAAGCTCGTAGTGGTCATCTTCGGGGTCTGGGGCGAAGGTCTGGAAGAAGTCAACCCCCTCGCGCTGACTGAAGCCTCTGGCCACGTAGCGCGCCTGAAGACAGGCGGCTCTCCAGGGGGGCGCTTCACCTTGAAGAGCCACCGACCATCGACTACGTTCACCCCAGGCGGGGGAATGCGTCGACGTAAGTGCCGGTGGACCTCCAAGATGCCATCTCCTGCTCCATGGCAGCTATCCACTGAGAGGCCCAGGGTCCCAGGTGGCCTCAGCGTAGGTGCGAGGGGTCGGGATGTCGAAGGCGTCTGGGTCACCCTCAGGGACTAATAGCATGGAGCCGAGATGGGGAGCAGCCTCGGAAAGGAAAGCAAGCTCGTACTGCCTGTCCCACTCCAGGCAGGAGCACCCTGCGGACGGAAGGGCGGTCAGAACCAGAGCAGCTGTCACCGGGTAGGTGAAGTCGCGACAGCAGCGACAAGCCGTCAAGGCACGAGACAGGAACAGGCAACAGAAGGAGACCGAGTGGCACGGAGGTAGTCAGAGAACGGAGGAGGTGCAAAGCAAGGGACGAGGGAGGAGGGGACGGGAGGAGGGGAGGACGAGATGAGCGGGAACGGAGCAACATAGAGTGGGTGGGCAGGACAGGAGAGACGGGACGAGCACAGGAGGGACGGCAAGACCAAACGTGAGGCAGAGGTATAGGGTCAGGGGACAGCGGGGGGGACACAGAAGGGGAATGAGGAGGAAGACGGGCCGGAGACGAGTCTGGCGGCGGGAACACAGGACCGTAGACAGGAAGGTCAGCAGGCAGTAGGGGAGATACCGGCGCGCGGTCCGGGGAGGGAAGGCTGAGCAGGCGGAGAGCAGAGACCGGCGGCAATGGCTGCTGCGGCTGCTGCGACGTCTGGGCCGGAAACCTCGGACTGGCAGAGGCAGGACGACCGTCGGCAGAACACTCAACGGCAGCACCCCCAGAACCAACACCCCCAGAGCGAGAACCCCCGCCAACACCAGCGGCACCCCTAGGAGCCGCAGGACGAACACCCTCCTCAACGCCAGCACCCCCAGGGGCCAAGAGCAGTGGCGGTAGTGGCGGCGACGACAGCGGCCGCGACGGCGGCGGCGGCGGCGGCAGCGGCGATGGCGGCGGCTGCGACGGCGGCGGCAGCTGCGGCGGGGTCGGCGACTACGACAGTGGAGGCGGAGACACCGGGGAAGGGGGACGCGGCAAGGACGGGCCAGGGGTACCACCAGAGTCAGCCGATTCCTCAACGGGGACAACCGACGGGAGGGGAGTGACGTGAGAAACACCAGACGGGGAAGGACGAGGCGGGAGAGGGGCAGGGGCTACCGGGGGAGAGGGAGCCTGGAACAGGGGCGGGGCAACCGGGAGACCTCGGTGAGGGAAGCGGCGGTAGAAGGAGACAGACTCGTCAAAGGTGGCGTCACGAGAGTGGAGGAAGCGGTGAGACAGCGGGTGGTAGAAAAGCCAGTCAGACGAGTCCAGGGGGAAACCGAGGAAGACACAGGGGACAGTGCAGGTAGTGAGCTTGTCCGTGCCTGAGCCACGAACGTGAGCAAGGCAGCCCCAGACGTGGAACGCAGACGCGTCACCGGGGGACCCGGTCCAAAGGAGGGTCAGCGAAACCTGCAGCCGCTGGGAGCGTGGCCACAAGTTAAGCTGGTGAGCAGCGTAGCGAACAGCGAACGGCCATATAAAATGGGGGGCATCGGCATGAATCATGGAGGTACTGGCGACCTCCATGACCAAGCCCATGCGGCGCTCAGCAACCCCATTCTGCTGTGGCGAGTCCGGCAAGGTGTACGATTGGGTGATGCCCTCTGCATGATAGAGCTGTCCAAGCTGACCAGAGGCGAACTCGCCGCTACGGTCAGAGTGGAGACACAACACGAGGAGGTCGCGGTGAAGACGCGCAGCTACGACCCACGGGAGAAGAACGTCGGGCACGTCGGCCTTCCGCTCCAGGGGAAACACCGTAGTGTAGCGCGTGTAGTTGTCGACGAGCACAAGGAACTAGCGCTCACCTCGCGGTCCGGAGACGGGGGCAGGGCCCCAAACGTCCAGGTGCAGGGTCTGAAGGGGGGCAGTAGCAGGGCGCAGCGAGGAGGAGTGAGGAGACCGGCGGAGCCGGCCCTCGACGCAAGGCGTGCACGGTGGCGCAGGCGAGGCAGGAAGGGCAGGGAGCGACGCAGGGAGACCTAAGACAAGACCGTGCTGGGACATGTGACGCAGACGTGGGAGTGCAGGGTGGCCTAGGCGGCGGTGCCAGAGAAGGGACGGGTGAGTGAGGGACCGATACGAGCAAGCTGCAGCGACCAGGGAGGACGCACCAACCGGGGGGGAAGCGGTGTCTAGGGTGAACAGACCGGACACCGGGTCCCGGGGGAACGTCGCAAGGGGGGAACCTGAGACAGCCTCAGAACAGACAGCGAACCGCTCGTGCCCGGGGAACGTGGTGGTGACGCCGAGGTCCTGGAGACAGCCGACACCAACCAGGTTCCTCGAGAACGAGGGAACGTGGAGACCTGTAAGGGAGCCCGAGGGAACTGCTGGACAGGGAAGGGACGTAGAACTGCGAGCGACGACAGGGCCCGCAGAGGGGTCAGCGAGAGAGACAACAGCAGGCGTAGCTTGTGGCGTGAGCGTGGAACGGTCGCGGAAGAAGCAGGCAAAGGCACCGGAGTCGAGAGTGAAGGAAAGCGAAGCCTCGGCGGAGGCCGGGAACGGAGCCGGTGCAAAGACTAGGCTAGGCAAACAAGGCAGTCCTACGCCTGACGCAGCAGGGGAGGCTAAGCTACACAAGGGGGCAACACCTAAACTAGAGTACACAGGGTAATAAGATCTAGCAACACTAGAAGCGTCAGAATACAAGGCATGCAAAGCAGCACCTATCTGATCCATGTCTAACTCAAAGATCGGCACGCCCTGGCGGAGCAGGCTGTGCCAGTCGGGGAAGTCCGGGGCCGGGCCAAAGCGACGACGAAAGAGATCGTTGAGGCGGCGGAAACAGCGGGCGGTCGGGTGCGGGCGGCGGCACAGAGTGCCGCGAAGAGGCCCGGTCTGAAGCTGGTACTGGCAAGTGACAACACCGGAGCCGCCGGTAGACACCGAGCAACGCTGGCCGCCACCACGGCCACTACCTCTGGAGGTGCCGGGCCAAACCAGGTGGAAGACGGGCCCACGGCTGCGGCTGCTGCTGCTGGGGCTGCTCCTGCTGCGGCTGGGGCTGCTGCTCCTGCCCACCAGTGGTAGTCCCCTCAGCCGGACTACCGTCACAACCACCACTACCACCACCACCTGCGCCACCACCCCAGCCTCCCTGACGACCACGGCCACCGCGGCGCGAGCGCTGCTGCGGGTGGACCGCAGCAGCCGTCTCGGTGAGAGGGATCGCCGTGGCGACCGCAGCCGGAACGTCAGTAAACGTGCACTGGGAGGGGGCACAGCTGTGAAAGATAGAGACTGCCAGCACACCGCTCGACTGAGCGATAGTGCGCTGGTGAGTCTCGATCTCGGTGAGGGTATCGACAAAGGCGGTGAGGGTGAGGTCACCCGGGTGCTGGCTAAGGAAGTGATCGCGAGCACTAGCGAGGGGGTCTGGCAGGCGCATGGCGATAAAATAAAGCGTCATGCAGAAAGGGGGGGGGGGGCGCAGTGAGCTGAGCAGCAGTGCTGGCAGTGCGATAGCGGGTCTCTAGGGCACGCAGGTGAGTGGCAAAGTCTGCGGCGGTAGGGAAGGCTGCAAGGTCTGGGAACAGCATCGGGAAGAGCAAGCGGCCAGCAGAAGCAGACGCGGGTGTGGAATAGCGAGCAATAACGGCGTCTAAGTAAGCTTTGGCCGTCTCAACAGTAGCAAAACGCGAGCGCTCAGACACAGGGAGGGCGTGGCTAATAGCAACCTGAGCTACTGCATCGCGGGAGTCCCAGACCGCACAGGCAAGCGCAGCAGTAGAGAAGTTCTCACGGTCATCAGAGGAGGGGTCAGCAGGAAGGGGAGCAGGTGCGGGGGGACGGGGGAGCAAGCCATCGACATGGACAACCAAAGCGTGGCCATCCTGGCGCTGACCCTTAAGGTGGCGGCGGAGATCGGAGAGCCAGGCGGCGAAGTCAACCGCATGGCCCTCGACGTTCAGTCGGAGCACGAAGTCAGCCATCGTGCAGGGTCAGCGGCACAGCTCCACAGCTCCGCAGGAAAACAGCGACACAGGGACACGACGGCGGCACTCTCCAGCACGGCGGCCGCGAGGCGCCCCAGCGCTGGCGAGCAGAGTAGACGGAGCCCGAGGTGGCACAACAGGCCGGGCAGGCATGAAGAGGGGCCGGGCGAGCAGTGGGAGAGGCCAGGCAGACGCGGCGGGGCCAGGCAGGCGCGGCCGGGCCAGGCAGGCGCGACGGGGCCAGGCAGGCGCGGCGGGGCCAGGCAGGCGCGGCAGGGCCAGGCAGGCACGGCGGGGCAAGGGAGGCGCGGCGAGGCTAGGCAGGCGCGGCGGGGCCAGGCAGGCGCGGCAGGGCTAGGTAGGCGCGGCGGGGCCAGGCAGGCGCGGCAGGGCCAGGCAGGCGCGGCGGGTCCAGGCAGGCGCGGCGGGGCCAGGGAGGCGCGGAGGGGCCAGGCAGGTGCGGCGGGGCCAGGCAGGCGCGGTGGGGCTAGGCAGGCGCGGCGGGGCCAGGGAGGCGCGGCGGGGCCAGGCAGGCGTGACGGGGCCAGGCAGGCCGCGACGGAGCCAGGCGGGCGCGACGGGGCCAGGCAGGGCGCGATGGGGCCTAGCGGGCGAGACGAGGCCCAGGAGGGGCGTGACGGGCCGAGGAGGCACGACGGGGCCCAGGAGGGGCGCGGCGGGGCTAGGAGGCGCGACGGGGCCCAGGAGGGGCGCGACGGGGCTAGGAGGCGCGACGGGGCCCAGCTAGGGTACGGGCGGAAGCTGTAGGCGGGGGATTCTAACGTACGCGTGATACCATGTTAAAGTAAGAACTGAATAATGAACTAGAACTAGAAACCTAGAACAAATACTAGTTGGTTGTACTCACTAGAAGCATACCCCAGTCTAGCCTACAACTTGTACACAACTAATATATATAAGTTGACAGTAGTGCCATCCTGAGCTATGTGTTTCTTGCTCTGCACTACCCCTTATCTAGCCTAGGGGGTGTGTCAACTTATACATATGTTGCAATGTAGAATTTATAAGCTAGATAGTTGTATTTTGTTAAAGGGTACAACCAGCACGCATATATCCCCCTTGTTCCACTTGTATTCTATTATTGATTCTCGTTGACAGAGAGTTGTGGTGCTTGTGAGCGACGACGGCGGCAGGCGAGTTAGCGAGGGAGACCAGTGCCGGTGCAGGAAGCGATGTGAGTGTAGTGCGGTCTCGGAAGGGTATAACACATATTTCTAACACATTTATGAACCCGCTGGGTGGATGAATTTCTTCTCCATTATAATCCAGTTGGATACGAAGCTCTTGTAATTCCGGTAGACTCTTTCTCCACTGAGATTAAATGGTCGGTTGTGCTCCAGGTTCCAGCTAGATGGTAAGATCGTGCAGTAGTTTGGGTGGTAGGTCGGGCGGCAATTCATGACGGAAAACCTTCTTGAATGCAAGCATGAAGGGATCGTAAGGATAAGGTAGTTTCCTTACAATTATTCTATCTTGTACAGTTTAACCTCCGATGGGAGGTCTCTCGCAACTTCCACCAGCCGACGAAATGCTGATTCACAATTATTGGCCTCTCCAGCTTGAGCCGTTCCCTCTTGTTCGCGTCTTCCCTTTCCTTCATTTCTCGATTGTTGCACCCGCGCCGCATCCCGGGTAGCAGTCGTACTTTTTCCTTCCACCTGACCGAACCGTCGTACAGTAACTACCCTACTCCGTCAGTTTCGCCTATCTTGGTGCAGGGCTTGGCGATAGCCGTCTACCACACAACTCATCTCTGAATTTTGGACGGTTCAGATGATTTAATCATCATCGTAGCCGTCCATACACCAGGGATGGTCGTCCAACCGAAAAGCGCTCCATCGGTTGCTTTCCGACAACAACGCGCTTTGAAAGTTCCCTGCCCTCGCAAATTGTTTGCCTGCCCCTTCACGAGAGTTGGATGTGCGGACCCGTTTCCACAACCTCACAGTGAAACCGAGTTCCTGGAAAACCAGAAACCAGAAGCGCGTCAAGAGCGGCCCTCCAGCCCCCATTCGTCCCTCTCCGCATTTCCTCGCCTCGTGCTCCTTGTAAAAGAACAGACGTCACATCATACCAGCTTCAATCACGAAGATAAGAGGAATCCATCTCTAGTCTCCTCGCCTCGCTTAGCCTCGCCCGTCACCCCCATCTGCTCGTTGCAAGCCGTCACGTCTAGAGCATGAATGATCACTTGAGGCTTGGTCAGACTGAGCGACTGTAGGCTCCAATTCATCGCCGCATGTAGACGTTAGCTGCTCCAGTCGCCGACTGCACTGGTAGGCGACGGTACGCGTTTTTTTGTCGACTGGAACGTATCGAAAGCCCTTACATGTAGTATTGCGCTCCCACCCACTTAGCCCAGAGGCATCGCCGTTCCTCAGGAACGCTTCGTTCCGCCTCGGGCACGGCCCAAGGCCTCCACGTGTCATCCACAGCTCTCTCCCTCTTTCCGTCCTCCCTATCTCCCGCTGCTACTCTCTCGCTTCCACTCTCCGTTATCAGCCGAGTTCCCTAGCACCCCCCCGCCCATCGCGGCTCAATGGTTCAGGTGTTCTCATGGGACCTCCCGCTCATCGCCCTCATCGGCATCGGCTGCGGCATCCTCGCTATAATCGTGCTCGTCCTCTCTGTTATGATCTACTGCTGCTGCTGCCTCTACCGAGTCCCCAAGAAGCAGCGGCGCCCAAATGACGAGGAGGCGCGGGGCCGACTCCCCCCACCGCAAGCATCACTCCACAACAAGCCCGCCTCCCCGTACCTCCGGAACGTTTCCGCCTTGCCTCCCCCCGGCTCCGCTTACCCTCCCGGCCAGCAGCTGCAGCCGCCGCTTCCCCCCCGTCAGCAGCTTCCGCCAGTGGGCGCGGGCGCGCTCGCCGCAGCACGGGCTGGGGGGGTAGGCGTGGCGGCGGGGGCGGTGGCGGGGAAGCGGCTGGCGAAGTGGGAGGAGGACCTGCGGGACGGCATGTTCCGCAAGTACTCGCTGGACGAAATCCGCGCCGCCACGTGGGGCTTCAGCCGCGGCAACTTCCTGGGCGAGGGCGCGTTCGCCGCCGTGTACCGCGGCGTGGGGCAGTCGGGCGCGAACTGGGCCGTGAAGCGGTCGAAGACGGCGCTGCCGCCGGGGTCGTCGGGCGCAGTGGACTTCGAGAAGGAGGTGATGACCATCTCGCGCCTCTCGCACAAGAACCTCGTGCGCCTGCTGGGCTACTGCATGGAGGACGGCGAGCACATCCTCATCTACGAGTACGTCGACGGCGGCACGCTCTCGACCGCGCTCGCGCGCAAGGGCCCGCCGTACCTCACGTTCAAGGAGCGCCTGAACATCGCGCTGGGCACGGCGGAGGGGCTGCAGTACCTGCACACGGCGGCCGTGCCGCCCGTGATCCACCGCGACATCAAGCCAGACAACATCCTGCTGGACGCGCGCCTGCGCGCCAAGGTCGCGGACTTCGGGCTGCTCAAGTTCATCCTCGAGGGCAAGGACGGCGCCACCGCCAGCGAGGTGGAGTCGCTGTACACGCGAGTGGCGGGCACACCGGGGTATCTGGACCCCGAGTACCACTGCACGGCCAAGGTGACGGTGAAGGGCGACGTGTACAGCTTCGGCGTGCTGCTGCTCGTGCTCTTCACCGGCCAGCGCGCCATCATCGCGCCCTCCTCCCTCGCCGCCAGCGCAGGGCCCAGCCAGTCCGACAGCGGCAGCCCGTCCCAGGGGGGGCGCGCTGGGACGACGCCTGAGAGCCGCCAGAGCGGGTCGAAAGGGGGTGATTCGGCGAGCCCGGCGTCAAGGGGGGGATCGGAGGGCGCGGAGTGGCAGTCGGGGCCCGTGCACATCTCGGCGTGGGTGGGGCCGCTGGTGCAGGCCAAGATGGTGGAGCGCGCGGCGGACCCCAACCTGGGCGCGGACTACGACCGGAGCGCCATGCTGAAGCTGCTGCAGATGGGGCTGCAGTGCATCCGAGCCTCCTCCAAGGCGCGCCCCGACATGCCCGCCGTCGTGCGCTGCCTCGCGGACCTGCGCGAGCAGCTCAACGCGCAGGAGCGCGCAGCGCTGGCCGCCGCGCGCGGGGAGTCGAGCGAGGAGGGGGAGGGGCTGGATGGGTCTGGGTTCGCGGCGGAGAAGATGTGGCGGGCGCCGTGGATGCTGGAGGAGGGCAGTAGTGCGGCGAGCGGGCGGGGGGGGGAAAACACGGAGGTGGAGTATTCCAGGGAGGGGAGTAAGCCGCGGGAAGAAAGTTATGAGGCGAGTGGCGAGTGGAGTGCGGTGAAGACGGGTGAAGAGAGAGGCTGGTCGGACGTGGATCCAAGTGCTGCTGCTGCTGCTGCTGCTGCTGCTGCTGCTGCTGCTGCTGCTGCTGCTGCTGCTGCTGCTGCCGGCGTTGGTGCAGCTACTGCTGGTTCAGAAGTGCGGAGCCCGCTGCCGCCTGTAAGAGAGGGGCCAGAGGGCGGGACGTCCCTATCAGACACTACTGGAGGCGGAAGCAGCATGCCCAAGTCAGTGCAAGGGGGTGGGTATGCGTCTGAGGGTAGTGCTGCGCCTTCTGCCGTTGCAACTGGCGCCGGCGGTGCTGCAGGTTATGGTGCTAGTGGTGATGCGCCCGCATCAACATCGTATGTGCAGGCAGAAACTGCTGCTGCTGCTGCGGCGGCGGCGGCTGCTGCTGCTGCAGGGAGGCATGGAAAGGCTCGTGGTGCCGGCTCAGCAGGAGCCGCCCCACCTCCAATGCCGCCCCCTGTTGGAGCACCTGTCTCTCCTCGTGCTGCTGTGCCTGCTGCTGCTACAGCGCAGGCAGGCCCTGCAGCGCAGCTGCCGGCGACTTCGGGCGCAGCAGGGTTTGCGACGGGGTACTATGACTCAGGTGTGGTGTCCACACTGCACGAGGCCGACCAGTCCGGGGTCACGCCCAGGTAAAGGGACGGGGAGGAGGGAGAGGACGGATAAGGGGAGAGTGGGGAGCTGTAAGACCAAGGGGAGAGGGATGGGAGGCAGCAAAGGGAGGGTACCTGGATGGCTTGAGAAGCAGTGCGAGTGACAGATGGTGTAACACGCCAGGGAATGTGTGTTGTGCTGGCTGCTGCCCCACTGGCGGAGAGGCATGGCAAGGGGGTAATAAGGAGGCAACTAGGAGTGAGAAGGAAGTGTATCTCAAAGTAACGAATTAAACTAGAATGAGAGATACAGGGTAGTTTTGTGCTGAGGGGTTGTACTCTGTAAGAGTATGCACCTATTTTGCCTATAATAACATATACACATGTTTGACACACCCCATAGGCTAGATGAGGGGCTGTGCCTGGCAAGAGACACGCAGCTCAGGGTGGCACTACCGTAATCCCCCGGATATAGGCGCATCCCTTTATTTGGCCCATTGCGCTTATGGAGTGCAAGTGCGCTTATATCCGTTATTTCATTATAAGCGCACCCATATTTTTGAAAATGTATTTCCTATAGGCGCATCACATTTTTGTCAAAACGTGTGTTAAACGGGGGATTTCCATATCGGAGTTTATGCTGTGTCCCTCCTGAGCGCCTGTTAAACTAAGCTAGGTAGTGTCAACTTATACATATATTGTTATGTAGAAGTTATAGGCTAGATAGGGTATGTTCTTAGTGGGTACAACCCAAACGCTATATCTCCCCTATACTCTCTTCTATTCTTTCTAGTCTTAACATGGTATCACGAGTAGGTAGGTCCACCCACCCGCTTCCGCCCCGTGCCGCCACCTACCGGACCCTCGCGCCCCTAGCTGGCCCCGCACGCCCCTACGGCCCCCTCACGCCCCTAGCAGGCCCCGTCGCGCCCTAACGGCCCCGTCGCGCCCCTAGCAGGCCCCGTCGCGCCCTTACAGCAACGTCGGACCCCTACGGCCCCGTCGCACCCCTACGGCCCCATCGCGCCCCTAGCGGGCTCCCTCGCGCCCCTACGACCCCGTCACGCCCCTACGGGCCCGTCGTGCCCCTAGCAGGCCCCGTCGCGCCCCTATGGCCCCGTCGCGCCCCTACGGCCCCTCGCGCCCCTAGCCGGCCCCGTCGCGACCCTAGCTAGCCCATCGCGCCCCTACAGCCCCATCGCGCCCCTACGGCCCTATCGCGCACCTACGGCCCCGTCGCGCCCCTAGCCGGCCCCGTCGCGCTCATACGGCCCTGTCGCGCCCCTAGCCGGCCCCACGCGCCCTTGCCGGCCCCGCTCGCCCTAGCCGGCCCCTTGTGCCCTAGCCGGCCCCTTGTGCCCTAGCCGGCCCCTTGAGCCGCCGAGCCGCCGTGTCCCTGAGCCGCCGTGCCACCGTGCCACCAAGCCGCCGTGCCGTCGTGCCACCGTGTCCTCGAGCTGCCGAGCACCCGCGCCACCGAGCCGCCGTGCCGCCGAGCCGCCGAGCCGCCGTGCCGCCGTGTCCCTGCGCCGCCGAGCCGCCGAGTCGCTGCGCCGCTGAGCCGTTGTGCCGCTGTCACACTGTGCGATTGCGGACGCCGTTCTTCGCTTGGACGCTGAGGGGCACGCGATCCACTTCGCCGCCTAGCTCGTTGACCTCCGCCGTCACCTGACAGGTCAGCGCCAGGATGGGCACTCCCTGGCTATGCATGTTGATGGTTTGCTTCCCCGCCCCCCTGCGCCTGATCCCCTCCCTGCTGACCCTACCACTACTGAGAGCGAAGATTTTGCTGCTGCATCGCTTGCTCGAGCTGTCAGGGATTCTAGCGACGTAGTAGCCCAGCTTGCCACTAGCCATGCCCTCCCCTTGTCAGAGCGTCCGCGCTTTACCGCTGTCACGAACGCCAAGGACTTTCTCGCTGCAGTAGTTGAGCATTACTCCACACCTGCTTTCGCCTCTGCTGACCGCTTGATCCTACCCATGCTCTTCCCTGATCTTTCCGCTTTCCTCACTGTAGCTGACCTCGCTACTCACCTCCGTGCACTAGAGACTAGCTACCGAGCTGCTAGCACTGCTGCCCAGCTTACTGCCTTCCCCCCACCATTTTGCGCTACCCTGTACCTCATCGACATGCGCTTGCCTGACGCTTAGCCACTGCCTGCGACCTCTTCCTTAGTCAGCACCCTGCCGATCTCACCCTGACCACCTTTGTCACTGCTCTGTCCGAGATAGAGACTCGCCAGTGCACTATCACTCACTCGAGCGGTGTTGCGGCAGTCGCTATCTTTCAGGGCTGTGCCCCTTCCCAATGCATGTACGCTGACGTCTCCGCCGCAGTTGCCACGACTACGCCTACATCTGAGACAGCAGCTGCGGCGTACTCGCAGCAGCGCCAGCGCCGGGGCCGCCGAGGCCCCAAGGGAGGACGTGGAGGTGGCGCTAGTGGTGGTGGTGGCGGGGACAGTGGTTCTGACGAGGGGTTTGGTGCTGGTGCCCAGGAGAAGCATCAGTCCCCGCAGTCACAGCCGCCGCAGTCACAGCCGACGCAGCAGCAGCAGCCGTCCCAGCAGCAGCAGCAGCCGTGGGCTCGGCTCCCCCCACGGTGTGCCTGTGTTTGACTTAGACATGGATCAGATTAGTTTTGCCTTGCATTCTCTGTATGCTGACGCTTCGAGTGTTTCCGGATCGTATTACTCTGTGTTCTCTAGCTTAGGCGTAGCACATATGTGTAGTCCACACTCCCCTGCTGCGTCAGGCGTAAGACAGCTTGCTTTGTCTTGCCTAGGCTCTACCCTTGCTCCTCGTCGTCGGCCACTACGGCGTCGCTGTCCTTGACTGTAGACTCAAGTGCGTCAGCCTGTTTCTTCCGCGACCACGCCGCCATCACGCCGCTTGCTGCGCCTGCCGCTGTCGCTCTTGCGGACCCTTCCTCTGGTCCTGTAGTTGCTCGCAGCTACACTACCCTTCCCTGTCCCGCGGTTCCCTCGGGTTCCCTTACAGGCCTGCACATCCCTTTGTTCTCCAGGAACTTAGTTTGTGTCGGCTGTCTTCAGGACCTCGGCGTCACCACTACGTTCCCTAATCACGAGCGGTACGCGGTCTGTTCCGAGGCCGCCTCAGGTGCCCCCCTTGCGATGTTCCCCCAGGACCCTGTGTATAGCCTGTTTACGCTAGACACTGCTCCCCCCCCGGCGGGCGAGTACTCCTCCGGTTCTGCGTCCACCCAGGTAGCTGCGGCTTGCTCGTGTCGGTCGCTCACTCACCCGTCACTGTTGTGGCACCACTATCTAGGTCACCCCGCGCTCCCCCGCCTGTGTCACATGTCTCAGCACGGTCTAGTCCTCGGCCTCCCTGCGTCGCTCCTTGCTCCCCCTCCCTCGCCTGCGTCATCGTGCACACCCTGCGTTGAGGGCCGGCTCTGCCTTGCTCCTCACTCCTTCTCACTTCGCCCTGCCACTGCACCCCTTCAGACCCTACACTTGGACGTCTAGGGCCCAGCCCCTGTCCCTGGACCGCGTTGCGAGCACTACTTTCTAGTGCTCGTTGACGACTTCACGCGCTATACAACGGTGTTTCCCCTGGAGCGGAAGGCCGACGTGCCTGATGTTCTTATCCCATGGCTCATCGCTACGCGCCTCCACCGTGGTCTCCCTATGTTGTGTCTCCACTCCGACCGTAGCGGCGAGTTCGCCTCTGGTCGGCTGGGTCAGTTCTGTCGTGCGGAGGGTATCACCCAGGCGTACACCCTATTGGACTCCCCGCAGCAGAATGTGGTCGCTGAGTGACGCATCGGTTTGGTCATGGAGGTGGCTCGTACCTCCATGATCCATACCGGTGCACCCCATTTTCTGTGGCCGTTTGCCGTTGGCTACGCCTCTCACCAGCTTAACCTCTGGCCTCGCTCTCAGCGGCCGCAGGTTTTGCCGACCCTCTTTGGACCGGGTTCCCTTGTGACGCGCATGCGTTCCACGTCTGGGGCTGCCTCGCTCATGTTCATGCCTTCGGCACAGACAAGCTCACTGCCCGCACCGTTCCCTGTGTCTTCCTCGGTTTCCCCCTTGACTCGTCTGACTGGCACTTCTACCACCCGTCGTCTCACCGCTTCCTTCACTCCTGTGACGTCCCTTTCGACAAGTCTGTCTCCTTTTTCCACCGCTTTCGTCACCGAGGTCTCCCGGTTTCCCCCCCCTCGTTTCTGGTTCACTCCCCCGGTCGCCCCTGCTCCCCTCCCTCCTCGCCCTGCTCCGTCCGGTGTGTCTCACGTCACTCCCCTCCCGTCGGTTGTCCCGGTCGAGGAGTCGGCTGAATCCGATGGCCCCGCGGTGCAGTTTGCGCCGCCTGTCCCTCCCCCGGTGTCTGCTCCTCCCTCGTCACAGTCACCGCCGCCGCAGCCGCAGCCGTCGCCGCAGCCGCAGCCGTTCGTGGACTCTGGGGGTGCTGGAGTTGGAGAGGGTGCTAGTCCTGTGGCTCCTGTCGTGGCTTGTCCCGACGGGCTCGGGGGTGGCACCGGCGCTGGAGACGTTTCTTGTTTTGGGGGTGCTTGCGTAGAGTGTACCGGAGGTGGCAGTGGTGCAGCTGGTGGTCCAGGTGTCAGCGTTGAGCAGCAGCAGCAGCAGTCGCCGCCTGTGTCCGCCCTTCGCCTGCTCGGCCTTCCCTCCCCTGACCGCTCGCCTGCGCCTCCCTTGCCGTCTCCCCCTCTTCCTATTCATGGTCCTGTGTTTCCTCCCCTGGACTCGTCCCCGGCTCGTTTCCTCTCTCGTTCCCCTCCTGTTACTCCTCCTCTTTCTCCTGACCGCACGCCTCCATCTCACGTCTGGTCTTGCCGTCCCTCTCGTGCTCGTCCTGTCTCTCCTGTTCAGCGTTCTCACCGTATGTTTCTTCATTCCCACGCGTCTCGTCCTTCCCTCCTGCCTTCGCCTCATCCGTCCTCGCTCACTGTCGCGCCTCCTCCTCTATCTAACTACCTTCGTGCGGCTCGTCCTCTTGTTCCCTGGGTCCTTGCCTCCCTTGTTACCGACCCGTTTGTTTCTGTCTCCAGTCTGGACGCTCTTGTCGCTGCTGTCGCTGACTTTGCCTCTACTCGCCGCCTTGACTTTGCTACCACTCTGGTGTTTGACCCTATCTGTCCTCCGTCTGTCGGGGGTGCTCCTGCCCTCGGCAGTGACGTCTTGGAGGACCGGCAGTACGAGCTTGCTTTCCTGTCAGAGGCTGCTCCCCATCTCTGCTCCATGCTACTAGTCCCTGAGGGTGACCTCGATGCCTTTGACATCCCGACCCCTCGCACCTATGCTGAGGCGACCTCGGGACCTTGGGCTTCTCAGTGGATAGCTGCCATGGAGCAGGAGATGGCATCTTGGAGGGCTACCGGCACCTACGTCGACGCAGCTCCCCCACCTGGGGTGAACGTAGTCGATGGCCGCTGGCTCTTCAAGGTGAAGCGCCCCCCTGGAGAGCCGCCTGTGTTCAAGGCGCGCTACGTGGCT